GAGGGATTATGGTGGCTGAATCTTCACGCAGGCCTCTCTAGGGTAAAGGGAGTATTTAAGAGAGAGACTCTCCCTCTCTCTCTCTTTCTCCTTCCCTTTGATCTTGGCTGTCGTGTGTATACTCAGTGTTCTGTGAATTTTAGCGGGGCCGAGAGTTGCCAAAATTGTGCCAGTTTTAGTATCGATCTGTTAATTATACGTTCGTATGTTTAATCTTTTACGGAGGATAAATTAAACGTGTGTTCGTTTGATTCTCTCACTTTTTGCGAGGAGTAATTTCATTTGGACGTGGAGGTTTTATCAGTGGAGGGTTTATCATTATCGGCCTGGAAAAATGTATCCCTTTTTGCGAATGGAAATGATGAAATATGGTCAAGGGGTATTATTTGATACTTTGTATTTTCTGAATATCAACAACGAGAGTGTGTATTCGATAAATATGAATTATTATTGAAAGGATGTTCGTACAGTTTCCCTATAACAGAGGGAAAGCAAATATTCAGTTATAAAATAAAATTGTTACGTCACTATCAGCTGTAAAAAATCAACAGGAACTACAGAACTGTTTACGCAACTAATGGATACTTTTCCTTATTTCTCATACGTAGGAACGAAAATCGCGATAAACCTAAACTGGATGAAAATTTACTTCGAACAGGGATTCGAAAGTTGCGAACTCTTTACGAAACTAATTAACGCGTCCCTTATTTTTCATTCGCAGCAACGAAAATCGAGTTAAAGTGTAACTTTTTTAATATTCTGCCGAAACTGGATTAAAATTTACTTCGAAGAGGGATGAGAAATTGGGAAGCGGAGAGTGATCCGCGTGAAAGTTGCAAAAACTCTTTACGAAACTATACCAATATGTCCCTCATTTTTCATTTACATCGATGAACATCGAGGACGAAGCGTAACTTTTTCAAAAAATTCTGCTAAACTCGGTTAAAATTGACTTCGAAGCCGTGTTTGAAAGACTGGATTAAAATTTACTTCCAAGAGGGATTAAGATGAAGACGGAGAAGAGACGAAAAGACAAAAATGAAGGGAAGAAGAGAGAGAAAAGCTGGAGTATCGATCTTTAGAGAAAAAGAGAGGGAAAACCTAGTGTATCGATCTTTAGGGGAAGAAATAGAGAGAAAGACTGGAGTATCGATCTTCAGAAAAAAAGACAGAAAAAAGCTAGAGTATCGATTTTTAGAGAAAAAGAGAGAGAAAACCTAGAGTATCGATCTTTAGGGGAAAAAATAGAGAGAAAGACTGGAGTATCGATCTTTAGCGAAAAATAGAGAGAAAAGCCGGAGTATCGATCTTTAGAGAAAAAGGGAGAGAAAGGCTAAAGTATCGATCTTTAGAGAAAAAGAGAGAGAAAAGCTGGAGTATCGATCTTTAGCGAAAAATAGAGAGAAAAGCCGGAGTATCGATCTTTAGAGAAAAAGGGAGAGAAAGGCTAAAGTATCGATCTTTAGAGAAAAAGAGAGAGAAAAGCTGGAGTATCGATCTTTAGGGGAAGAAATAGAGAGAAAGACTGGAGTATCGATCTTCAGGAAAAAAGACAGAAAAAAGCTAGAGTATCGATTTTTAGAGAAACAGAGAGAGAAAACCTAGAGTATCGATCTTTAGGGAAAAAAATAGAGAGAAAGACTGGAGTATCGATTTTTAGAGAAAAAGAGATAGAAAACCTAGAGTATCGATCTTTAGGGAAAAAAATAGAGAGAAAGACTGGAGTATCGATCTTTAGCGAAAAATAGAGAGAAAAGCTGGAGTATCGATCTTTGGGAAAAAAGAGAGAAAAGCTAGAGTATCGATCTTTAGGTAAAAAAGAGAGAAAGACTGGAGTATTGATCTTCAGAGAAAAAGAGAGAAAAGCTGGAGTACCGATGTTTATAGGGCTGAAATTGGGCGAATTTCGTCGCGGAAGCACAGTTTTCCCTTATCTCGCGCTGCTGACCCAGAACCGGAGGATCTCCCAGCGTAAAATGGCGAATCCACACGCGCGTTCTTCCATAAACCCGTTTCGCCCGGCGAATATGAAAGCGTAGGTACAGAACCGTCTGCGGTTCTCGGGGCATATTGGGTCGGATCCATGCCCGTTCCGCCAGGCGTCCAAACTCTCCCAACAAGTACAACGCACATATATAACCCGAGATGTCTCTTCTCCTTCTCGTACTCTCGCGATCAATTTTCATGATTCGCTTTTCCATAAAGAAAACCAGTTGCGGCAGAAACTGATAGCATTGAAACCAGGACGAGTCTTCTCCCTGTTTCATATGGGAGAACAGATTAGGAGAGAATTTCGATACCCTGACGAACCCTTTATTCTTAGTCGATTGCACACATCGAAGCTGGCCTAATTTTCAGTTCATCAATCGTTCCAACTTCCACTTGAAAATCGTTATTACGAGTATTCCGCGAAGTTAACGTATCTCATCGGAGTTCGAGTATAATTTCGGAATAATTCGCACGATTACGCGAAAGAATTTTCATCTCTGCGATTGTTAATCCCACGAACGTGATTCTTTCATTTCATTCCGGAGAGTGGAAGCTTCCGATGCAATTTTTCTCCGGTTCGAAGAGTCAGTTTCACTGTTGGACAATTTGTACCGTTTTCCGTTTAATGGGAAAAATGCGAGGTTGAAGTTTATCAGCGATGTGATACTGTTCCACAGAAATGTTCCAAGAATCTCGCGAAAGAAGATACACAGACCTGCAATGAGAAAACTGGCGAAGCAACTATACTGCACCTTCGTCGCATCACGTACGACCCACCCTTCTATCAGAGGGTCTCGCTAACGACTAAATCCTCCTTCGAATACAATCGAGCGTGATGCTCGTCTCGTTCGAAAGCCAAACTCTACTCGAAGCAAGTTAGGTGGTGTTTCCAAGGCCTCCAGTCGAAGGGGTGTCGCTTAGAACGAGGCCAGTTGGAATTCTCTTTTCAAAAAGTGTATCACACTAGAAGAACGAAGCCTAGAACTCAAGCTCGAACAACCTCTATCTCTTCAAAATCGAAAAAGTTACTCGGAACCAAAGATGAAAAATTCAAGTAGATTTCGAAAGAGAAGCAATTGTCGCTAAAGAACACAGCGAATCTCGGCGAAGAGCTGAAATGAACAATGGAAGCTGAAGCGACAAATTGCCAGAGGAACGTTGGATTCAAAGGACAGCTCGGTAGGATTTCAGCGAATTTTTAGGAAGCAAAATCTGTTTATTCCGGGAGAGATCGAGATGACATTCCTTTTGGCGATCGCGTTGGAAAAGGGTTGGTAAATACAGCGAGTATGTATCATCGAGATCGAGAATGGAGAAGGTTCGAGGCGATTCTGTCGGTGAAATGTTTATCGAATTGGATATTCCAGGTTGGCCAGTCGTTCTGATATCCTTTTGCGAGATGTCCGAGATCCCCTTTGGAAATTACGGGAATTCGCGTTCCCGCTGCGCGTTCGTGGCTCGCGGCGAGATCACGAATCAAAACGATAACGAGCCTCGTTTCTCCTGCACGCTCTCGCGCAGAATCGTACTCTCGCGGACACCAAAACGATCGAGGAATTCCCCTTTATTCGTGTACCTCGTGTCGGTCTATTTTCTTCGCCGCGGCGGCACTCGTGCCATTGAAATCGAACTTTCACTCTCGAACGCAATATGGAGCCGCCTCTGGACACCGGTGGTTCCCGTGAATTCGATTAACCGAGCTTCTCTCTCGTTCTTTATGCTACGTGTGTCATACACGGAACGTGTCAATTCCTTATTTTCCCTCAATTTTCAACTTTTTTTTTTCAACACGTTGATCGTCACGCTAGATTCACGTGTTGCTCACGGGGAGAGCCACAAGAGAATTTTCATTATTGCAGGGATATTATCTAAGTGGTTTTTGTTCCCTTCGTCTTTTTTTTTTATTTTTGCTTTGGCGCGAGTTGTTCCTACTGGCTCAGGGCCAACTTACACGTCTATGTTTTTATCTACTATAATGTTTTTGGATCAGTATTAATTAATTGCAAGGGTAATTATAGAGAAAAATTTTCAAAGATTATCCTCTTTTCTCTCTTCGCTCTTGTCTCTGCACACGCATTCACACACTTTTGCCTCGTGCCGATTTTCGGTCAAAACGTCGATCTTATCACGAACACATTTTCATTCGGAAGAACTGTCACTCGGTCGAAACGCTCTTCGTTCACACCTCGGTTGATCCAAATCTTATCCCACATCCTACGTTATATTATGCTCTATTATTATTTTTTAAATTCAAAATAACGTCTAGTTAGCTACGATGCTCGAGATTTTTAGTCGACGATACTCGTTTTACTTGAATTACTCTGAACGTTTGAGACAGTGGCCTCGTCGAGGAAACAATCTCCGGTCACAGGTGACTAACGTAGCACTGAACGTGTTAAAGGAGTGTTTTAGTATGTGTAATGTTATAGGTATAAGAAGAGTGCTTTCTTTTGAGAAATGAAGATCGACGAGATGTTACTTCTTTGGTAACTATAGAAGTGTATACTCTGTCATGTTATAGGTATAAGAAGAGTGCTTTCTTTTGAGAAATGAAGATCGACGAGATGTTACTTCTTGGGTAACTATAGAAGTGTATACTCTGTCCAATTTAAGAGTAACCTCGCTCTCGGGCCGATTCTCGCCCGTTCTGCAGAGGGTAAGACTGGAGAAAAACGTAGGCAGTTAAGTGGGGGGTTTGGACGTTCTAGCCCTGCCTTAGGCACGTCCCATGCGCGAAGCGAGGTTATTCTTAAATTGGACACAGCTGGAATTTCGAGGGACCCCAGGACTATGTATATTCCCTGGTCGGTTTCTTGTTTGGGTACGGAGGTCCCGATTCTACAGAAGTACCTTTAAAATTCTGTATTTTACTCGGATTAACTACTGTGCAAAGTGTAGGAAAAGTGAAGTGAAATAGTAGGAGAAGCGGTGTGTTTTCAGGAATAATTGCCACACCAGCCTCTGCGTTACGTTCAAAGGAGTAGGATAAAGTGACTTCTTAATCGACTTACTCAGCGTGGCGTTCTTGGCACGTGACTGGTCGGTCTGCGACCTGAGCAATCGCAGCCGATTCAGCTTGCTTTGTTGTTGGTCCAGCCTGTGCCTCAATCTGGCGAGTTTGTCCTGCTGTGCTGGATCCTGAAACAGTAAACACCGGTCACTGGATACCAGGCTGAATGCACCCTCCACCAAAGTGAATACGATCTAACGAGCGTGACGGAGAGCTGACCATCGGAGGAGGGGAGAATAAACCTCGTAAAATATTCAGAGAATCAACCTAGTTTCTCTGTTTACCTTGCCTTTTCTATTAACGCATTGACCGCCGCGTGTGGTGGGTCGTCGGTGGGCCACGTAACTTCGTATCGCGTTACCGTCAAATCTTTCGTAATATCGTTTAACCGACGCGTTTATAGCGCGATCGTCATTAATGAGCCCTCAATGTGAGAAATAGTCCTCGTTTTCGATAGGCGAGGAGGATTATTAGTGAAAGATAATACAAAGAATGCGGTAACGTGGGCCATCGACCGATGTCCCACGTTTTCAAAAGGCGACGAGGATTACTATTGGAAAATAACAAGGCGAATCACCGATGCTAGTCTGAATGGAAAGTCACGTAAGAGATTAACCTTACCTGTGCTCCTCTTTCAAACAGAAATCAAATCTCTCTAGTTTACAATTAAAAGCGAGTAAGAATTACAACCAATTACTTTCTCTCCACTCCTACAAATACGAATACGACGTATTTCACGTTCAACCCATGCCCAACGGTACAACAAAAATAAATCACGCTTTCCCAAGTACTGACTAACCAACGACGAGTCAACTCTTGCCCAGTTAACAGATTAAAAACACCGCTAAAAGAAGGATGAAAGACTCGGTGCAATCAGAAAGGAGCAACCATCGTAAGCAACAAATTGTCCTCGTCTATCTCAACCGAGCTCGGTCACATCGATGTTACGGAATCATCAAAGCTCAACAGATTGCACACCGTCAGAAGCTCCAGTATTCTCTCTCCAGGATCCACGCTGCAGCGGAAGGAAGCATTGGACACAGTTGGAGTAATCCCCCGGGGAACGTCCACCGAAATTACCAGCGGCAACCTTTCGTCGTCGACGGCGACGATCTCATCCCCGCAGGGTGTGCATTGTCGGCCGTTAAAAAGTCGCCGAGATTAGGCGGAAAGCCGCGGTCGCTGCGACGAAACCGGATGGTAGACCGAGAATAAAACTTTCCATCTTCGGTATCGGGTTCGCCAGAGGCGGGATGGAGCCTCCGCCGAGGAGGATTAGGGCTTTCAGGTCCCAGGAAATCCCGGCTGAGTCCTGTCCCAGTCTCCTTTCTCCGGTTTTACCTCGTGGATCGTTCGCGAGACTCCGCTAACGTGTACCTTTCTCTTCTTCCTCCTTTTTTCTGCCTGCTCGATTTTTATCAGCATTACTGCACGGAAAGTAATCGTACTCATCGATAACAACCTTCCTCTTCTTCACGTTGTAGATTTTTCGAGAGATTTACCTTCGTGACGCTTTTCACACACGTGCGAGCCTTTCTTCGCGGATTTCGCAAGATTGATCGATAGGAAAATGTCGAAGGGCAGAGAAGCCTGCTTTCTAATATGTACCAAAGACGTTGGAAATCTATTTAAGAAATTTGCGGGGTAGCTCTTCGGTGATCGACGGAAGTTGCCTTTGAAAGTTTGATAAGCTACTTGGATGTTTCAGAGAGGGATTGCTCTCAACTAGCTCTGTCGGTGAAACATCGAATTAATGGGCCTACCTCAAAAATTCATTTCAAAAACTCCCACAAATTCCATATAAGTATGACTGATAAAGGATTTCGATATATGTGTACCAAAGGAGCGAAGAATCTTCGAGGGGAATTCGCGAGGACTTTGAGGAGAGACTTTTGCCAATTTTTCAGGCGATCTAACGAGGTGTCAGGACGGCTTGTTTCCGAGAGTAACGCGATCAGCGAGCGGCGTCAACAGGAACGGGATTAGAGCGACGAAAGCCGGCCTCTTAATCTCGTTAATATCGCAGAAGAAGAGGCTCGTTACACGCGCGTCGAGTGCTAAGCACACGGGACAAGGAGACGAGGGAAGAATTCGCCGCGTTACGCGCTTAACCGGCTCTAGCGAGAGGGTGGTGTGCAGAGCGTAGAGTCGAGTGGGCGGCGGCCTGATTAAAATCGCGCGTTAAGCGGATCGGGCTGCTTAATCGGTGATTTGAACGCCTCCATTACTCTGGCGCCGTCATTCGATCAACCAGAACCGACATGATACATTCCTCCACCGTCGCTTTCCAATTTCCTTCAACATTAGTTTCCAATTTTTTCTTCTTTTCTCTCCTCTCATTAACGAGCACAACAAGCGACGTTCGTTCGATGAACGTCTCTTTGGTAAGATTTTATCTCGATAATTTCGTGGTGATTTTCAGGTGTCAACATGTCTACAGAAAGACAGAGGAGATTTGAAACACAAACGATGTCTTTATCGTTAACACGTAGGAGAATTGATCGAATTTTGTTATCGTCACTTACATCTTCCGGAAAAAGCGACCACTATCCACGAAGACTACCACAGAGAAATCTTCAAGGAGAGTGACAGGGAGGATCTCACATTTTCTGAGAAAATCTCAAACATTCTGTGAGCTATTTAATTGAAGAATCCACCTTTCGGAAAAAGTGACCACTATTCACGAAGACCTCTACAGAGAAATCTTCAAGGAGAGTGAGACGGAGGATCTCGCGTTTGCTCAGAGAATCTGAGACTTTCTGTGGGCTATTTAAGTCAGGAATCCACCTTTCGGAGAAAGTGACTCCACTGAGTGTGACCACACAAATTTTTGGGACACCGTCCACGAAGAGTATCCAAGAGCAATTCTGCACAGTTTGGAATTCGAAGAAAATCGAAAAAACCGAAGCAAGAATAGAAAACTCCGCAGAAAAAACTGCGGTCACCCATCTTTGCTAAAATCCCAGGGATTGTAGCTGCACTTACAAAAGCACCTATCCTGGGACCAGTGCTCCACACCACTTCCATACTTCCCTAAGTTATTCCTTAACAAGGTACACAAGTAAATGCAGTAGGACACTGTACGTTCCTCGACGCAATCGAACATCCACCACCAACCGGGTTCGTTCATTCGTTCAAGGTCATGGTCACGGCTGGCAAGGTCATCTTAACGGTAATATATGCACGCTAATTCTTTCTTCTTTTTCTCTCCTCCTCCTCCTCCTCCTCTCTTTCATCCTCCGTCATGCAGAACCGTCCACAAGCGGTTTTCATGCGTCACGCGGAAGACACTTGTGCACACGCGAGATTCATCGAGGACGCGAGCGTGTCGTGGAACATCTGGCGAATGCCTCTTCTCTGCGAGCTTTCGAATCTCACGCGAGGAAAACCGGCTGTTTAGCGAGCCACGCTTCACGACTGACAATGCTGGATGAATGTAATTGCCGGTTGCTCTCGGGGCAGGCTCCATCTTAGCCTGCTCGAATGATAGAAACCTGGTAATTTAGCCGACCATTCGCAGGGGGGCAGGTGTTCCCGATGTACCTTCAACTTGCAAAGATGTTCCCTCCAGCTACTTACTCTCCCTCTCTCTCTACCTTTGATCGTGAGCGTTCCGTGAGAGATGGATACCGTTACGGTATTCTCGATTGCAGACTGAATCCTCGCGCAAGGACACTGATCGCGCTTTTCAATTAAACTGATCGTACTTCGTGGGGTGTCTTAGAACTTCGTCTTGGTAATTACCAGCAGATGATCGAGGCTGCGGTATCGTTTGTAAGGGGTGTTTTAAGGAGATCATTCTGTTGTCAGAATTTTTTGAGAATCGGAAAATTTGTTGTATCAGTTCACAATTCTAGCATCTACATTTTAAATTAGAGAACAAGACGAATTTACGAGTTCACTGATCAAACGAAGACTTACCTCGACTTTAAATTCTCCTCGGAAATTCGTCACTTTAATTCTCTGCGGCTGTATTTTCCGTGGCCATCATAGTCGCATTGATCGGAATTACTTTTTGGTAGCGCTTGCTCGGTCAATTATTGCCCAAAAACGTATAGATTTGATTCAAATGTGTTTCTTCAACCCTTTACAGTCCGAGTAGGTCCAGTTAGTCCGCAATCGTTTGGCCAGTGTGGCATAATTTAATTTTGTAAAATAGGGCCGCAAAGAGTTAAGCTGTGCCCGTATTATTCTCTTTCCCCCATTTCTACGGTCAAAGTGCCCACAAAACGTTCAAAAGGTAAAAACGCTTCACCCTGAATATCCCGAAGTTCGACTGCAAAACGTGAATATTCTCTTCCCCCAAAATTCTTTCGTTCTCCAAGGAAATATCGCTGGAAAACTTCGTTCCGTACGGTCCTCTACACTCCACACTCTACATTCGCCTCTCCATTGAGAATGACTGAAGTTCCGTTGCATCGATCGTCGATTACGCTTTATTATGTCACGTGATCAGTTGGTTAGCGCCTTGGATCGCACGAGATCGCGAGGAAACCGCTCGACGCTGGTGGGCATCGACTTCGCAGAGGTGGGAGATCATCTTCAGGATGAGCAGGCCGAACGGAATGGACAGTTATCCCGTCGATAATAGGCATAAACTGTCCGGCGGTCTATTATTACTTTGAATTATTCATGACGCGGACGTTCCGTCTCTACTCAAGCCGCAGACACGAACGAAAAGGACGCGACGAAACTTATGGATCATTCGAGGATTTTATATCCAGGGAAAGGAAGGCTCTTTACGGGCTGTTTTACCGCTGGTCCCCAGATGTGAAAGGGCGAGACTTCGAAGGTGCTAAAGTGGTAAGAAGAGTAAGTAGAACATGCTGTTCCTTGCACTTACTTTCGATCTGATTTTAGAACGTTTCTAGAGGAGCCGCATGAGGCTCTTAAATCCTGCTGTTGCCGCCACAGAACCGACAGTAACCCCCCGAAAAATATCTACAACGCGTCGGTAAAGTAAATGTTTCGACGCGATTCTTAAATTTAAAATTAAAATTGCGGCTCTCTAAATTTCATTTCTTCTACGTTGTTTCCCCGAAAGGTTCCCCTGGTCTAGAGCAAGGGTGGACTCTCGCAGGCGAGTGCTGCGGCTCTTATGCGAATAAAATGTATCGGATGATTGCAAAAGTTCTAGCCCGATTTGAAAATAAAGCACAACCGGTGTGTGCAAAGGCAGATTTCACTTGAAACTGAGGAGGAACGAAACGAATAATTATTTGAAAATAAAGCACAAGCGATGTATAGTTGGGGCCACGATATAGCGAGGTCGTAAATTAACCTCTCAAGAATCGGCATCGATTGATGTTGCGGCACTCAAGGCCGTGTGTTGCAGTCTGTTTGAGGGTTCCAACAATAAACGAATGGTAGCATATGATTTGGTACTTCAAGTAGAAAATGGTATTTCATTTACAAATGGAAAATATGTTAATATTAAGCTACACAATCTTTTTGCACTTTCTATCTGTATATAACACGAGTAGATAAACTAAGATGCTAAAGACATCAATAAGACCTTTACCTGTAACCGTACTTCCAAAAGCGGCTTCCCCCAGAGGGAGAAACCCTAATTTGTCCTAGCTGCATGCAGTTTTCAGTAAATATATTAGAATCAGTTGACTTTCGCTGGATACAAGAATTCTTTGTACGGTCCTGACCATGGTTTCAAGTACTTATCTGCTCGTATCTCTGTCAATTTTCGGGTCCCGGCAGCTAAAACATGTTTACTTTGACGTCTGACCGATTTTACGACCTCGCTATATCGTGGCCCCGACTATACTGTTACGCCGCTGTTATGTGCAAAAGTAGTGTGGCGGGTACGTCGTCGTCAACAAACCCTTGCCGAACATCGTTCTGTTCTTCCACGCGAACTGTCTCCTTTCCAACTCCTTCAGATTTTAGTTTCCGTTCTTTTGTCTCTCCCCGGGTTAAGACTTGCCTTCGTCCTCGAGTGACCTAAGAAGCGCACATGTGGCATCCAGGTTTGCACGAGGATTTTCCACCACTTTCTCCACTTCTATCTTTATCTATCTCCCTGTCCTAACAATATAAAAACCCAGTACGCCTACACCTCCGGACAGTCTTTCCTTTATCGACCGTCGCGACGTACCCGCCGAACCGCTGCCGCCGGGACAAGTAACAAAATAAACGATTGCATTTTCTGGACCAATTGTACGCCTATACGACCATACACTTATACTTTAATAAATTGAGGTGAAAACAGGGTAACGACGTTCCTCACCCACCTCAGTAGTTTTATTCATATTTTACAGGAATCACGTACAGAGGACGTGCGCGGGACGAGGTGAAAACAACTATTGACTAAAATGTGTGGGGACACTGTCCTTTATGCCTTCGTTTTCCTTGAAGTTTGACCCTATCGATGAATAAGCCGTTCGAGCTTCGAACGGCCAGAGGATCCTTTGCCTTCGTTTTCCCTGGAGTTTGACCCTATCGATGAATAAGCCGTTCGAGCTTCGAACGGCCAGAGGATCCTCCTGATAGAATTAGCAGTACATATCCTTCGATAGGAATGTAACATTACGCTAAAAGAAACATCTGTGCCGGAGTCACCTCTGAAAATCGGGCCAGAACTTTTGCAATGAAATATGGTAAACTAAAACTGATCAATGTCCAAAAGTAATTATTTCATTTCATTCAAGGAAGATCTGTGGGTGAACTTTAAATTGCTTCCTGAAATGTGACTTCCAAAGGTAGTGTGGCTGGCCACCCCTGGTCTAGAGTAAAACAGGAGTCTTTAGGAATTTATTTGTGATTATGATAGAGCTGTCGTTCAATTTGATCGCATTGCTGATTTGTTTTTATTTCACGTTTAAACGTATGCCGTCGAATGTTTGCAATTACTCGTTTGATTGCATCGATGTTAATTAGTATCGATGCTTTTTTCATACGCGTGGAAATACCGTCGAGCGACAGCTTCGAATTTACTCGTCTGACTGTGTCAATATCAATGCTGGGTTTTATTGTATCGCATATTTGCCATGCTGTTATATGTGCAAGCAAGGGTAATCCAATAACTTGTCACAGGTGTGAAAAGATCCTTTAAATTAATATACCGACAGTTGGTAAATTACAGGAGAATTTTGAAGAATGACCTGAATGATTCCATAAATTCGTGCCGAATCTTATAATTTGCTTATTCCTCAATTTCGTCTCGTCAGAATTCTCAGAATTTCTTTAGATCTTGATTCAAACATTTTTCACGTTCGTCGCGAACTTATCAGACGACCTAATAATTATTCTCACCAAAGTCCTTCGATCTTACCAAATGTCCACTGCCGAAAGAACCTCGAGAACTTTGGTCAACCCGAAAATTTTGACTCAAAACGGTGCACGAACTATAAATCCAGGACCGGCTGAAAAGGTGGCAAAAAATAGGGCAAAACTCGACGTCGGCGAAGTCGCGACCGGAAGCCGTGCTCATCGACGGCCGGAAGGCGGGACGCATCGGGAGAGACGGGCAAGAACCAAGGAATATTACGGGAGCTTTGTCGAGCAATTTCCAGAACGATTTCCGCATTTAGGTTGGAAGAAGGGCCAGCACTCTCACCTGTGCGCCTCGAAGCACGGCTAGACGGGCCTCTCTCTGCTCCAGGAGGCGCCTTTGCTGGGCAATTTCCCGCTGTTGCCTGGCTGCCATGCTTTCAAGCTCGCTGAGCACCAGCACAGCACCACCCCCGCCCACTGGTAACTGAAACAGAATTAAGGCTACGTTAGGAAAACTGGTTTACAAGTATCGTCTCCATTTCGTTTTCCCTTCCTCTCTCCCTCCATCTTTCTCCGACCTTTTCTTCTCTTTGTTTTTCGTCAAGGGAGAGTCCTAGTTTCGTTGATTCCCGAGTTTTAACGCTATTACGCTGTCAAGGTTTGGTAAATGTTCCACCGCTTCGAATCGAATCCAGACAATGGAGACTTGAAACTAGCTTAAAGTATCTTCCGAGGAACTTTCGTCTAGCAACATCGCTCACAGCTGAAATGTTTCTTAACGTCTGGGAGCAAATAATTTGACAAAAATTCTTCAAGTTTTCTTTACAGAATTGTCTAAAGGTAGCTCGAGATCTCATTGGCAACAGAGAAAAGAAATTCCTCACCTTCTTCGGTTTTCCTAATCAAAATTCCGAATATCTCTCCGGAACAACCCTCGTAAAATCGAAACGATCCAGCATCGAGGAAACCTCCCACGTGAATTCCAGCGATAATCGAGATTACGCAATAAAATCCCGTTTCCATGGACGTCGCGGGAGGCAGAGAGTTCTAAATGTCAGCCTGCCATTTCGCCGACGACGAGCTAAGGAACACGACGAAGACGAGCACGAAGAAGAAGAGGAGGAGGAGGAGTAGAGGATTACGCGATTTCGCGAGCAGCAGAAACAAATGGAAAAACGGAAGGGGTAAGAGAGGAGGGAATGGAAGAAGGTGAGGCGTAACGCGGCTCGGAGAAAAGAAAAAGCGAGACGAAGAGTGGTAGGTCCGGACTGGAGGAGCGTTGGCAGTTCTTTTTGCTTGACCTCGTGCACCATCTGGAGAGGACCGGCGGCCCGATACCAAGTAGAATCCCAAGGCCGACCTGGCCCTTCGAATTCCACAGCGACAAGGACTCCTGGTAACCTTCGTACGTCAACCAAAAGCTGAACCCTGCACCTAGCGATAGGAGTTTCGATCTGAATTTCGAAGGGTTTGCAACGTTTTCGATACTGTGACGAAAGTTCGAGACACTTCGAGGCTGATTCCAAGTCTTGGGAAATCTTCTATCTTGAGAGATCTCAGGACTTTCGAGTCTTGTTCCGTGGGATTCTTCGTGCAGTCGAAGAAGATTTTTAGACGTTTGTGGATGCTGACGGTTTTAAGTGGAAGCTGAAGACGTTTAAGGTGACTGAAGGATTTGGAGAAATTCGGTGGAATCGTGATCGAGGTGCTTAGTAAGTATTGTAACTGGTTCGATCGAAGAACTCCGAAGAATTTGGTAGAATTGCGAAGGATTTCGATGGATCGAGGATCTTTGCAAACGTAAGTAATTGTAAACTCTAGCCTAAAGATCGAGCAGGGTAAAGAATAATTTCAATCACAATTCCCTTTCCAAGAAACTAATTTCAATTAGAACTCCCTTCGCAGAATCAAGAAAAACCGTGCACAAGTCAAAAGCAGAAGCACAACAGTCGCGAACGAGAATTTCAAAACGAAATTTTCCTACCAATTATTCTTCCTCTTCCTGCTTCACCTGACCAAGTCTCCTCCGTTCACAATATCGCAATTAAACGTCCCTCATTCCCTCGATCGAATCGTACGCGCTTCACCTTCGTTCGAATTTCAATCTCCCTCGCTCCTCCCCGTTGCGTTCCTCCTTAACGAACGATTCGTCGGTGATGGAAATAAAATTTCCTGGCAAATTGAAACGAAAGATTCGACCAGCACTCGTTCCCCTATTCCGATCCTTATCAAGTTCTACTCTCGCCGTGATAATGAATTCAAGCCCTATTTTCAAGCATCCGTGCGCCACGCTTCGTTTTATAGAAATTTCCAGGTGAAAACCTCAGCTCTCGCGTGATTTCTCCACGGTGAATCGTTAAAACCGACTTCTATAGAACTCGTCGAAAATTATCGCCCGAATCCGGGAGAATCTGGAAGCTTTTGTTCCTAGACGACGTTCGTTGCGTGTATTCGTGGTAGTATTAAGCATGGATGATCTATTAGCTGTTGGAATTGATCGACTCGAACGAGATAGTCCTGGGTGGCATTACTCGATGTTCTCTTCAACTCTCCCTTCATTATTCGCTGGTAACGAAAATGGCGAATCCACTGTGGACAGTTCACAGGAGGAGGAAGGGTAATCTTTAATGCAAGGGACGGATGAACGGCGACAGGAAAATCGAGGAAACTTCTCGTGGTCTTCTCGTTAACCGACGATTCAATTTTCCTGATACCCAAGTGCTCGTTAATCCGAATTCGATTAAGCCTGGGCACTTTGATCGCCGCGAAACGTTTCCTCCTTTCTCCACCACTCTTCGATAATAATATTCTGGTGGTGCACTTTGGATTACGACAGCGTTGATTTAAATTTCAATTCGTTTCGACGATAACGTTTCGTCTTTCTTTCCTAAACAAATCTGTAGAAATCGACGGAAAAAATTTGCACGGACCCCAACCGGGAATCGAACCCGGGACCTTAGGCTTAGCAAGCCGAGGCTTTGCGCGCTACGCCAACTACGCCCTCTGTATTCTCCCTTGTCGATGTCCTATTTGAGTATGGAGGACCCGATACTACAGATCGTGTAGATAAAAATTAAACGTGAATCTTGCGATTTGAAGGATCGATCGAAGGAATTAGAAATTCTAAAGTGAAAGAAGAAACTTTCTTCCTCTCGATTTTAATAACGGGAGGGTGAATAAATAACAGACGTTGCGAGGCAGTTGCAACGGAAGGAAGAAAGGGTTTCGCCGTGGAACTCGTAAATTCGAGACGTGATTTTGCAGGTCGTAAATGAAATACAGAAAAGTGGCCATTGGTCGAGAGATGCGATTCCAGGACGCCTTTGGGATGCAGAAGGGCCGAATCCGCCGGCGGCAAATTACGTTTTTCACGCGTGAATCGCTGATCGAGTTCAATTCGAAAAGGACACGCGATCCTCTGCACGCTGCCCTGTTATTATCCTGTGCAGGAAGAAAAGAAGCGCCTCGAGCGAGATGCCAGATGCATTGTGTGCAACATTCAATGCAGAAATCTCCCGGAGATTTTCATTCGGACGCAATTTTTCGGGTTTGCTTAAAAACCTCGTTTCTCTGGTTCTTCCTGAAGCCACTTCCTTCGAGTTCTGGCGAGTGGGAAGAATATCTCTGAGACGGAGAATTTTTGCAACCTAATTTAACGTTCGAAGGATGCATCCAAGTTTACAACAGGTGCAATTTTTGTAGTTGCAATTTTTCGAGATTTTTCGTATTAAAAAAAAAAATATTTCCACCGTGTTGATCAATTTTTCGGATTTAATTTAATTTCTGGAAGGTGCGTCAGAGTTGTATGGTAAATTCTGAACATTTCTGTGCTGCTGAAAAATTGATAGACACCTAAAAAGAGTACTCTTTTTGTAGAGCTGCAATTTCTCGAGATATTATTCAGCACTCAAAAATATATTTCCACGGTGTTAATCAATTTTTGGGAGATGCGTCAGTGTGTACGGTATTTAGTATTTTTTTTAAGCAACAAAAATCTGGAAAAGTTTTATCGTAAACTTTGACGCGTTTAAATTAGGTTAAAATTACTCTCCCCTATCTCGGAGATATTTATCATGCACTCAGTTTTAAATTGCCATCCAACAGTGTGTTTCGAGATGAATAAACAGAAGAATATATATTCCTTGCTAAATTGACCATTCGGAAAACGTAGCAAATTGAGGGCAACAATTGGGAACGAAACGTTTGATACGAAATAAAGACAGAAAGTTCAGTTCGAACCATTGAATTTCGCCAGGTTTCGTACAATTTACCAACAACTTAATTTCCATTATCCCCCCCTCTGTTCACGGAGAAGAGAAGAGGAGCGTTTTTAATCTGACAGGAGGATGAAAAAGCCGAGGCTCGACCCGATTCTGAATGCAGCGTGCGTTTTCAAAAGTGGACAGAATTTTCGCGGCGAGCTAATATCCGCGTTGCGGAGAATCAATGCGGTCGTGTGCGTAATTAAAACCAGGGAGGGAAAGCAAGCAAGCAGCCGGATGAATGACCATTCACCCAGAACTTTCTCGTTTATCTAACGCTTGTTATCTTTATTAACTCGTCTCATTTTTTTTTGAAACTCGAATTTACGTTCGAAAGAGTCGCGAAATTTCTTCACTCGTCGCATGATTTTTGGGGAATTGTCGGTCGACAGAAATTGTTGACAATTTTTCCAGGAGACAATTGAGTCAGAGTTTGTTAATCGATAGAAATCGATTAAAGTGCATTTTTTGGGAAATTTGTATTCGACAGAAATTGATTTAAGTGTATTTTTTGAGAAATTTTCATTCGATAGAAATGGATTTAAGTGTATTTTTGAGTAATTTTCATTCGATAGAAATTACAGAGAATTTTCCCAGGAGAAAATTAAGTCAGATTTTCTTAATCGATAGAAATCGATTAAAGTGCATTTTTTGGGAAATTTGTATTCGACAGAAATCGATTAACGTGTATTTTTGGGGTAATTTTCATTCGATAGAAATTACAGAGAATTTTCCCAGGAGAAAATTAAGTCAGATTTTCTTAATCGATAGAAATCGATTAAAGTGTATTTTTGGGGTAATTTTCATTCGATAGAAATTACAGAGAATTTTCCCAGGAGAAAATTAAGTCAGATTTTCTTAATCGATAGAAATCGATTAACGTGTATTTTTGGGGTAATTTTCATTGGACAGAAATGGATTTAAGTGTATTTTTTGAGAAATTTTCATTCGATAGAAATTACATAGAATTTTCCCAGGAGAAAATTAAGTCAGATTTTCTTAATCGACAGAAATTGATTAGTGTATTCAGATTTCCTTGTACGTTTCTTAGTACACACTTGGATGATCGGTATCTTTTCAAGCTCGTTACGCTTTTTTCCCCCTTTTCCTCTTGTTCACACACTGCTATTCCCATCTCGTATGTTTCAGCTAAAAAATCGTATTTTTATACAGCACCACAGCCTCGTTAATCTTTTTGTAACGCTCGATTATTCTGGCTAGCGGCGTTTCGAGGCCCGTTGTTCCCGCCTCTTCGCGAGATTGCACACGATGAGATTGCGACTCGTGTACAGCGAGAGTCACCGAACATTTTACACACACTTTCCAACACTTTCGACACTCGAGAAACAGTCGTATCTCAGTTGAAGCTGTGACCAACGTTCCTTCGATTTCGATCGAACAATTCTGTGTCTACGATCTAGAAGAAATCCCGTTTACAAGATCTTCTCAACCATTTTTACCACCTGAAAGAACACGGAAGAATTCTAGAAGATATCCTGCTTGCAGGATCTTCGCATTCCTCGCATGCAACACTACGTAATTATCTATCCTCTTAGACCGTCTGATACTTTACTCAGCGAGGCATGGCTGAATAGGAAGAATAGGACGCGGGAAAATTAACATGTGGCGTCAAGAGCAATTAACGCGAAGAATGTGGCGATCAGGAAACCCCCGTTAATCGTGTTCGATGGAAAAGACCGCGCTTCCTCTATTCGACAGAGGCCAGATTCCAAGTAACAGCCGGCAAGTGTGAGAGAAAAATTTGTTTCTCGAAGACGAGGAAATTAAGATGCGATCAAAGGAGGACGCTTCAAAGGTCTCCAGCGAGGACACAGGTAGAAAGGAGAGTGAAGTCTGCCGAAATGACCGGAATATTGACCTTTCTCGTTTCACCCTCGGGCTAGGGTCAAAAGCGAGTCCTGCGACCCTTGTACAACGGGTGACTCTGAAATAACGTCTGGGATGGACGTTGCCCGGAGTAGATGAATCGACCTTATTTCCGGGGAAATCCTCAGTTTAGGGGAATAAATTTCGTGGATATTTATGAAACATGAGTTGATTCTGATGAAACGGAGGATGGAAAAGGAGGACTAGAAATGTATTCCGGACATGTACACACGATTCTGTCCGAATAAAACGACTTTTTCTGTGAAAATAAATTCTGGTTTAAATAAAATCAGCACTAACCCTTTCGCTACGGCAGATTTTAACGCTCAACGTGGGTGTGATGGTAATTCTTTAACCGCGGTTGCAAAATTTCTTATTTTGGCCGTGTCGTTTTAAAATTCGCTTGATTACATTAAGGTGCAAGTGCGTAAAGGATGAAATTAAGTATTAAATTAAGGCGGAAGTGTACGAAAAGGCTCGATAATTAAAAATATTCTCTTTCGATCGTATTCTCGGTTCGACTTCTAAATATCCACGAAAGAAGTTCGACTTTAAGTGAAGTGAAAAAACGAGCACACCGAGATTCATCTGATTCGCGAAAGCCACGGGTGTAAACGTCGAATTTCCCACTGGGCACGTTTCGAAAAAAGAAAAAAAAAAGAGACGAACGGCAGGAAGTAAAACAAAAAAAGGGGGGAAAAAATGAAAAATATTCGGAGGAAACGCGAGCCATCGAACGATCCGATGATTACCGGCGGAATCGAGCAGCAACTTTTTCGAAGGCATTTGTCCGAAATAATCGGCCTGCGAGCGCACACGAATTGAACTGCGCGGAACACGAGCCTTTTGACGGGCCTCCATCGCAAATTCTCCCGGAAACGTACGAATAATCGAAAAAATGGAGATACTTCAAAGAGAAAAGATACGGAAAAATAAGTGTCTTCTATTTTGGAAGTTTAGAAATAATAAATAATCTTTCAACCCCGTGCCGTATGATAACGAGTTAGACTCGTACCACAGATTCTGGCGAAGATCGGTAAGACTAATTCATTTTAATTCCAATTTTCCATTTCGTTTGTTAAACCGAAGATTGCAAAATTTCGTTAATCTAGAACACGCTAGCTTTTCTTACTTAACCCTTTCGCGACTAGCGCCGGTTATATCCGGCGTCCGCTAAATGCTTCACACTTGCTAGCGCCGGTTATATCCGGCACCCACTAAGCGTGTCGCATTGGCTCGCGCCTCAACAACTCAAAGTGAAGATTTATTTTAAAATACAGAACAAGGCCACGACAACGTTCCCTTCATCCGATACACCCTCAAGAAATCCTCAAAGATTTGAAAAAACGCGAGACACTCTTAACGTGTATGGTGTGCACTAATGGCACGACGACCTGTTCGTTAGTGGCGTACCGATGGCTAGTTCCGCCGTCGCGAAAGGGTTAATACTGCACTGAAACGGTAAACAGCCGACGCTCAGATGCACAGTCAGGAGAAGAAACGAAGGCGTTGAAGAAAATCTGAACTTCAACGAAATACTTAACTTGCTTGCCTTCGTCGAACAAACAAAACTAACCGACAAAATATAGCGAAAACAAGGATAGAAAAGAAAAGAATCAACGTTAAACCTAACTTGTTACATTTTCCAATCGCTGTACCAATCGACTCTCCTCAAACATCTTCGCGCTCGAAAGTTGGCAAAGATCGAGCGTTCCTCGAAGGAAAACGAAAGAAGGGCGACCGAAAAAAGCCGGTGTCGTTAATTTCGGAGTAATTTTATCTTCGATAAATGTTTCCATGGTTGATAAACGCGAGGAAATTGTGGAACCGTGCCAGACATGGTAATTTCGCCGTGGTAATTAAGGAAATTCGCGGAGGAAGGGGCGAACGGGAGGGACAGTTTCCCAGGGAGAGACGCATAAATATCAAGGGAGTTTCATCGAAATAATCCCCAGAGGGGCAATCCCGTCTTCAGCGCGTTGCAAAACTTATCTCGGGACAGTTTAAGTGGCCGTAACTATTATTTACTCGATCAGCTGTGCTAAGAGATGCGCAGGTCCACGTATATACACGCGCTTCTTCTGTGACGCCATCTTGTCGGCCGCTGCGTTTCGCTCGCGTTATCGCTAGGAGGTAATGAACGTCCGCGGGAGCCTCTGTTTCAGGATAAACGGAGATTTATTTATAGTCCCTTCGAGCACGCGAGATGGCAAAAAATTGCGAACAACGTCGGAGAGACACCGATAAGGATCCAGATGGCAGATTTCACCCGGTTTAACGAGAATTATCCTTCTTTTTTTTTTTTAGGGTTGAATCTGTCTTCATAAAACTCGGGAACACGCTTTCGGGGGCTGAAAACGGAGACAAGCGACGTCCTTTATGGTTAACCCTCTACTGTCGAGGCGGAGTCTCCGCTGATTCTACCTTTTTTCTTTTCTGCCGTTCTATTTAGAACTCGACGTTAGTGCATTAAAACGAAATTAATCCAATCCATCGCTCTATTCTATAACGTTCATTAGGAAAATGTGCGATAAAGGTAAATCGGTAAGAAACGTTGTCAGAAATGTTCTATATTTATGTATAAACTAACCGGAAGTCCGTATCGGGCTTTACGTCCTAAAAACGGTGTCTCGACATTAGAGATAATTGTCCGAAGCCGGCGCAAATTGATCTTTACAATTTTCGTCATTTTCACGTCGACCCATTTAAACGACCATTTTTACAGGGGAGAATTTAAGGAAATTAAGGGTGTAATTTAAATTCCAATTTATTCTTACCTCGTGCTTCAGGTATATGCAAATTTGCGAAGATACTTCACGATAAAAATGAAGTTTAATTTCTTCTGGGAGATGAGTAACTTTCGGTCGTTAGTTAAGACCAAGTTTCAAATGTTTTCGAGGTATTAAAAATATCCCTAATATACCTATTACTATTTCTTTTTACTTATTTAACCCGACAAATTTTTATTCGCAATCTACAATTGCAAAAACCATTAAACGAGCCCTGTACAATTTCCCCCAAGCAAATTACTCGTGATTAACCCTAGGAAGCTCAAGGGAGGATAAACGAAGTTTGCAAATTTAGTCTTTGTGTGAAAAGATAAAAATATCACCTTTTACTTATTTAACCCAATAAATTTTTATAAGCAAACCACTCGTGACTGACCCTACTGCGTTCTTCCTTTTGTACTGTACACTTGAGACTTTTGGGTGAAAAAGGATCTAAGACCTTACGTGAAACAATTTTTGTTTCCAACGCGACATATGAACCTAGACGATAAACGTTTAAAATAATGTCAAGGAAGGTAAACTTGATACCAGCAAAAACGACTAAAAATATAAAAAGGCGGCGGGTCAAAAAAGACCCGACGACCGCTCTACGGTTAACTCTAGGAAGCTCAAGGGTGGGCAAAAAACTGTCCACAAAGTTTGCAAATGTAGTCTTCTGAATTTGCAATTGAACAAAAAATCGACAAAATGTCCTTCCAAGGTGAAACGAAAAATGCCCGGTTCTCGAAAGCAAAGCAGAATTGCTCGTCGCCAGAATCAGCTTACCTCGTTCTCGCTCTTAGGGTTGTCGTTGGCATCCTGTTGCCTCGGATTCGTCGGTTTCTCCTTCACAGACAGAAGCTTCGGCTTCTTCCTCGATCTTCCGTGACGGAGCTTCACCGTCACGGCCTTCGATTTGAAGTTCTCCGCCGGATAAACGCACGCCAGCATCGTGCCTGGACGCGGTTTCGCGATTATTTTTGCGTTCTCGATTGTTCCCTCTTTCGCGCTTTCAAATCTCCCTCTTCCACCCGACGCGCGATTCTAATTGTCCGCCGAAAACTATCGCCTGTCTCTATCACTGCGCGATTCTTCTCGTACCGATTTTCTTCCACCGTGCAACACTCGCATGTCGCCGGCCCATCGGCCCCGAAACTCGTTAATCCCGCGATTAATTAAGAAACACGCGTGCTCTTTTCCTCTCTTCTTTCTCGGTGGCTTCCGCGTTAATTGCTGCCCGAGCTACACTTTCCACGCTCGCACAACTCCCCGTTCCTCGGTTTCGCGGCTACCAGGCTGCTGCTGTCGAGTTTACCGCTTCTAAAATGAACACCGTGTATATACGCGTGCCACTGGGATCGATTGTTTTTGGAATTTTGGTTCTGTGCTCGCTGACTGACGGGGAATATTCTCGCAAAGTTTTCGTAACCTTTGTTGGCGTTATTGTAGAAATGAAAATTTTGTCGTTTGGGTGTAACGAGAGCGGAAGAGTTGACGAAATTTAAGGGGAAAGTTGGAACAAAGTAGCCTTTTAATATATTTCGAAAAGTTTGACCAAATCTCGAAAGGAAGTTACAAGGCACAGTCGCATATTTAATTAGAGAAAAATTATTACAGAAAATAGAAAAATATGGAAAATTGTAAATTTACGAAAATGAT